TGTGATTTAGTGAATCAATCCTTCACAAAAGATTAGAAAGGACAAAAGACAATCCATGCAGCAGGCAATCTGTTTTGTCTGCCCTTGGTCAGAAAAGCAGGTGAATATTAAGTGACTTTTAATACTCAGTTGTTGTAGTTATTGCCTTTGTTTATCAAATATCATTACATTTGTAGAAAACGATCAGCGTATGACTCTGATAGCTCAATGGTGGAATCGTATTCTGTAAAGAAAAGGTCACTCAGCTAGTTTGTTTTTTGGAACATTGTGATATCTTATGGTCATGACTACCATTACTGCTACCATCATCACTATCACCAGGTGCCCTTTCATTACGTACCAGCATCACCAACTCCACCATTATCAAAACTATAACTACTTACATTATAAATCATCACAATCATCAACAATATTGCTGACATTATCACCACCATCATTATCACCATAAAAAAAACATTACATTTATTATCATCAGGATTATCATCAGTCATCACCACTATAACTACTTTCAGTATCATCTTAGAGTCGATCGACATCGCAAATACCGATATACTGCCACCAGAATACCGGTAAATACCAGTATACCGGTACGGTATTTTTAACATGTTTTTTTCTAAGCCAAACTGAATGTTAAGAAAAATCAAGTTTTGACAAAATATTAATGTGACATACTGTTATTAGTGCAAATGTCACAAGATTCCCATTATCAAGCTTGTTAACGGCGCTAAGCGGCAATTATTACTGCCCGATAAGTATTTCCAAAAAAGCTTGAAATGTCTTTCAAAGATATAAGTTCATCAAACTCTTTCTTGATTTCAACTGAAATAATTTGACATGTGTCTTGTTATATGTATACCGGGTGTCCCCCCCAAAAACTTGCGCTAGCTGTTTGATTTAATGTAACATAAAAACTATAAAAGCTATTACACTCAAATAATTTTTATTGTATTCAGAAAGGGCTAACTTAGATTTTGATATGTAACATTTGAATGTCCGTGCAATATTGACTGAGCTATCATTGTTTTAAATCGAATAAGCACATTTCACAATGTTAAAAATTTGTATAAAATTGCCTATCAAATATTATTTGATTACTTGATACATAGAAAATTTTATACATTTGGTTATTTGATACATAGTTGTATTGTGGCCAAAAGAACGAATGAAAAACATAATTGTTGGATAAACATTTATATTCATTCATCAGGGAAAGTATGTTCTGTTGCACGTATACAATGTCTTGCATGCGGGAAACCATTAAAACCCAATTAACTCTTTGATGTTTTGTTTATCGAGGCATATTCGAAAGATGAAGGCATATTTGAAGACCAACTTTATAATACGAACTCCCAAAGGAAGTCAAATGTATACTTTCAAATGTTTTTAAATGTTTCATGCTTATTTTGCTTCCCAAGAGACACGAAAGTATAACTAGGACATTCTCCGCAATTAAAGTTAATAAGTTAAAATGCTAAAATTGAAATTGTTAATTTTTGTGGAAAATGGCAATTGTTTTTATATAAATTTGATCAGCCATGTTTCTCGATTTTTTTACTCATTTTTAAAGCGTGTGCAAAATTCAAACATTTGTATTATCCCGGTTTATACCAGCTAATATACTATTAGCTGATCAGGTTTTTACCAGCTTAAATAAAGACATTATTATTATTATTATATTACATGACATTTTTAGGGCTGTATATCAAAATCTAAGTTATCCTTTCCTCAATACAATAAAAACTTATTTGAGTTTAATAGCTTTTACAGTTTTTACCTCACATGAAATCAAACAGCGCAAGTTTTTTGGGGGACACCCGGTATATAAGCCATTAATAAATTGGATATCTCACGAGACACTAGAACGAACACAAGGGGCAATCTATAAGTGGAAAATCAAAACTACTACTTTAATAGACTCAAAGCTACGTGTTCACAGTAATGATAAAAAGTGCACATAACAATTGCCAACGTATACAGAGATATAATTAAATATCTTACCATGAGACACATCAGTCATCCAATGACATATCCAGTGACTGGACAGCGCCAAAAACATTGCCTGTAGAGCCATCTAGGCTCTGTAGGATGCCTAAAATATATAATAGATATCTAAATCTCGACTTACAACATTAGGCTGGGCTTTCGGTCTCGACCTAATAATGCTTTGCAATATTGGGCAGGAATCCAATAAGTAATGTTACTTATCTGGAGATACGAGATTGGTGTCTGGACGGTACCTGAAACAGAAAGACACTGTTCTTCTTCATCATCTAGACTTCCAGGGATGCCTGAAAAAGACAAGTTAAATTTGGAATAAGTTTTGGTGTACTTTCAAGAAGATAATAGATTACAATTCATTCTAACATGTATGTAAAATTCTTACATGGAAGAAGGCGTCCAAAATCATTTCCTGGTCCTTGCAAATGTTGTCCTAAAATAAAAGATACAACAATAAAATGCATTGTTTCTGAACAGCCGTCTTAATTCTAAACGTTACATGCATTTTTTTCTAGTTTTTTCAACGTATGACGTACAGATCGTACTATTTAGAGTGAAATTTGAGCATTTTACTTGTTTTCAATTCACAAGAAAATCACACTTAAATGATAGGGTTTTCTATGGTAAAACTCATGGCCAGATTTTGAGGGGAGGTGTGGCGAGGTGCCTGAGATTTTTTGCACCTCCCCTTGAAAAAGGCAAATGATGGATCTAGTCAAAATTTTACAATGTTTTTTATAAAATTGAAAAAGTGATAATCATCTCTGTGCCAATTTCGTTTTGAGCGTTCTCGATCGAGAAATTTTGAGAAGTCCAGTCCTTGAGGAAAGAAACCTTCAGCCCAGGGAGAGTAACAGAAACTTGTAGTTGTTGTACAAGGTGGTTGCTACCCCTGTCGCTTTTTTTGTGGTTCAGTAGGGCCATTTATATGAGCAAAAATAAGACGCGACCTAAATAAGTCGCGAACAACTCGTATAAACAGTCAATTTGCAATAAGCGGCGGCTTATTTAGGCCTAGCTTTCAACCCTGGGCTTATTTAGTTATCTTAGCCGCGGCCTGCGAACAAATTGAATTATATGAATCGTTCGCGACTTATTTACTCGTATAAATGGCCCTATTACTTCCTTGCACCAAGGCCTCCGCCCCTCGGACATGTGGGTCGTTAAACCGATTGGAAGGAGAGCTCCGTTCTCTAGCTGCTCCTTCGCGACATCTGTGCTTTCCACGAAGATTAACATCCAAACACACACCACAGGTATCACAATGAAACGAGCGATCTCCATGTACCCTAGAACAGAAGGAAAGCATATTATGATTTACTATACATCGCTTACGAACAAGCACTGTTATACACCCTGCAACTTGCACGTAAAATTGAAAAGTGTAACATCCCCTCCAATCGTTGAGTCTCGCCACATTTTTTTGCTGGCAGCGTTGTATATCAAAATAGAATTAGGTTCTATTTTGTGCCACGCTCTTTGCAACGAATACGTTACGAGACTCGACGATTGCAAGGCATAAGTTGTGTCGCAGCAAAGTTGCTAGACAAGTCCAGTACTACAGAAAATATTGTGAAAGTATTCATTTATGGTAAGGCCCGTTTACACGGGCGATTTTTGCTGCGATTTTAGTTGCAATTTTCTCCTTTTGGAGGATGTAAAGGAGTGGATGAGTTATAAATGTTCCAGGTTATGAAATCTCATAACATCATTAAGTAATCTACTCCTTCAGAGGAGAAAATTGCAACTAAAATCGCAGCAAAAATCGCACGTGTGAACGGGCCTGTACGTACCTACAGATACCACATTTCTCGCAATGAAATGGGCGATTCTGCTCTCCAGTCAAATGCTGACATATTGCACAGAAATACTCAGCAAACTTCAAGCTACATTCCACACAATTTGGCGATTCTTTGGGGAAATCTTGTACTTTACCACACCTACGACATTTCAGTTTCTTTATATCACGAGATCTCAGTTTTGTCTCACCACACTGACTCGATGCGTTATGACAGCGGTGACAGGGCCAGAAAGGTTCACAACATGCGAACTGAGCATTACAATAGCGATCATAATGTGCACAAGAATATTCTCTGCTCATCACCCATACTCGAGTGTCCTCCGCATTCTCACCTCCGGGAAGTGTACTTTCGACATTTTCACCTCCGGGAAGTGTACCTTCGACATTTTCACCTCCGGGAAGTGTACCTTCCACGTTTTCACCTCCGGGAAGTGTACTTTCGACATTTTCACCTCCGGGAAGTGTACTTTCGACATTTTCACCTCCGGGAAGTGTACCTTCAACATTTTCACCTCCGGGAAGTGTACCTTCAACATTTTCACCTCCGGGAAGTGTACTTTCGACATTTTCACCTCCGGGAAGTGTACTTTCGACATTTTCACCTCCGGGAAGTGTACCTTCAACATTTTCACCTCCGGGAAGTGTACCTTCAACATTTTCACCTCCGGGAAGTGTACTTTCGACATTTTCACCTCCGGGAAGTGTACTTTCGACATTTTCACCTCCGGGAAGTGTACCTTCAACATTTTCACCTCCGGGAAGTGTACCTTCAACATTTTCACCTCCGGGAAGTGTACTTTCGACATTTTCACCTCCGGGAAGTGTACTTTCGACATTTTCACCTCCGGGAAGTGTACCTTCAACATTTTCACCTCCGGGAAGTGTACCTTCAACATTTTCACCTCCGGGAAGTGTACTTTCGACATTTTCACCTCCGGGAAGTGTACTTTCGACATTTTCACCTCCGGGAAGTGTACCTTCAACATTTTCACCTCCGGGAAGTGTACCTTCAACATTTTCACCTCCGGGAAGTGTAC